AACACTTTATTTATTTGGTCCCCCAACAGACATTCAACTGACTATAAGTAACTTGGCGACTACAAGTAAACTTATTCTCCTAATCCAAAGCCATTCACTTTGAAATTGTTCCACACCAGTGGTGCACGGGTTGATCCAAAATGAGCGGGTGCCTGTGCCGCGGTTACCCGCAGTTACGGGTCATCCAAAAATATTTTTAATGATATTCGGGTCGCGGTCGGTCAGGTCGTTTGGAAAAAGATGCCAATTAAACCTTTGTATTTATATAGTACTAGATACAATTTTCTATGAAATATATAGGCCGAATTTATTACTTACTGCGCATCATTCGTTACTACGCGGATGCGCAGTATCAGCTGCTCGTGCTCATCACTTCTCTCAGCTGTGGCAACAACATGTCTCAGTTCAGTGAACTGTTAGAGTTACTGGAGTAAAATATAATTCGGGATATTGGTTTATTTCAACTCGGAGGGACTGTCAGGCATGTCTGAAAGTGAGTAACTGTAACTTGTGGATCAGCACTGACGCAAGACGTGAACTGATGCGAATGATTCAGTTCGATTTAGCGTACTGGTTCGACCGGTTCATTAAAAAGAACCGATTCGTTCACGAACCGGCCATGTCTATGATCACTAGTCTGCAGAGAGATGGAGGCGGCAAGAGAAAAGGTGAAGACTGGGGAGTGAAAGCTCCGCAAATACACAAATAAAAAGAGTAAGTGTGGGAGACATTTACCGAAATAATGAAAGATGATGACCAAAGTGCTGCCTTTGTTATATGTAGGCTACGTCTTCTTGCGAAAGTTGCGATGCTGTGTTGTTACACGTTTATGGCCCAATGACGCTACGATGAGCATGTACTACTTTTAAAAAATACGGTCAGGAAGAGGGTCGGGTACAATATTTTCTTACTTTTTTTGCGGTCCGAGTAGCGGGCGGGTAGTTGAAAACGTTGGTAGTGTGCGGGTTGTTTATACATTGACCCGCGCATCACTGTTCCACACGGCTGACATGTCTCCCCATCTCCCCGCTCTGAGCTGCAACCGGAGCCTGGGGGTGGGCACTCGGCGCCTGTGATTAACCCATTTCTCAGAACATGGTATCGGTCCCCGGTATTGGGGACTTTTAACGAGTACGAGTACTTTAGAAAATGTGGTATCGAGGCCGATACCAGATACCGGTATCGGTATCGGTGCATCCCTACTCACAAACATAGTTAACTAACCACTACTAAATGCTTTATAACTACCTGTATTTACTACATTTACTTACACTTTCTATGTGATTTCATGAATGACTGACAACTCTTAAATAACTGGTTTGTAAATGATGCAATACTTCATTTAAAAATTATTAATTGATCATTAACAAAGCATAAAAATACAATTATTAAACGCATTATAGATATGCTTATAAATCAAGAAAAACAGCATTTATAGTATCTGTATTCATAAACTGCTTATTAATGTCTATTAATGCTTTACAAATAATGAATTAACTGTTTACTCATGCTTAACAAATTATTTATAGCGTGCAGTTATTATAAAGTGTTACCTATTTATTTATTTTTTTTATCCTTGAATCGTTTTATTTAGAAGAACCATCTGACATGAATCAGAACAAATATGATATTTGTCTTGGATCGCTCAGCCGAAAAGCTGCGAGTGTAATTCCCTGTGTGACGAAACAGCATCTTGTTGTAAAAGTAGCTTGTTACTGAACAAACTATAGTGTTTCAAAAACCGTTCGAATGCCATATTACTGACGTACAGTTAAGCTAGTAATCTTAATCTGCAGAATTAACTTCAGCACACCACTCTGCTATATCTCTGATAAGCTACGGTGACCCTGATGTCCAGCCTCTGAGAAAAAGCACCGGTGGTCTCCATCTTTTCAGAAGTGTGAGCATAAACATTAGCAGCATCTCTGCCTGCTCAGTGGGGGCTTTGGGCAGACAGATGGAATCTATTAGAAAAAGAGCTGGTCTATGGAGCTTGTGATGGCTTACACACACACACACACACACACAAAATACGCTCTATTTAGACTGTAACATTTGCCAAAGGGGATGTCACATGATGTAGTCAAATCAATGGAGCTTCCTCATTCGCCATTAGAGAAGGAAATGTATATTCCCACATTCTCTTTCTCTTCTCCATCTGTCTCTCTTTCTCGCCATCTCGCTGCTATTCATTCATTCACCCTCTGTGATTCTCTTATAGATCATATAGTGGAATAGATTGCGTTTTCCATTCAAATGGTTCTTTGCTGAGGGGAAAATATCAAAGATGCTGGGACTAGTCACATATTTTTCAAGCCCTTCAAGTCTTGACTATAAAAAACAAGCTATTTCACTATTTTTGTCCAGGAAAAAATATATGGTTCATCGAACACGTATTAATCAACAGTGCGGCATGTTTTCACAATGGAACTTGCCAATGAACAAAACACTTGACGTTCTTTTTCATAAATTAAAACAATAAAACATTTAAGGCGCTGATATGCTCACGGCAAATATATTTTTCATTCATCGCTTAGGGATTAAAAAGAAGTTCAAAATACCTGAGCTCAGGTATACTGATAGCGAACTTGAAGCGGCGCTTATATGAATATGTAAATATGTGCTGTGCATTTTGCTGTCAATGACAAAATAAAGAAAACAGAAAGGACTGGTGAGAAACAACAGTTAAGAAAGCATCTGATCATAACAATCTCTCTAATGAGCTATGCAATTTGGGACTCCAGACTGTTTTCCGAAACCGAAATTTGTTGTTCATCCACGTTGTTTAATATTACTCACGTTGAGTAATAACTTCTTTTAATTATTCCGTTTAAGTTGGAATTAATGCTAGATGGTTTGTTATAAATTACGGACTTGGCACCTGAGGAGTAATTCTAATTTGGTAAGACTTTACAATAAGGTTTGTTTATTAATTAATGCATTAACTAACATGAACTAACCACGAGCAATACATTTGTTACTGTATTTATTCATCTTTGTTAATGTTAGTTAATACAAATCCAGCTGTTCATTGTTTGTTCATGTTAGTTCACAGTGCATTAACTAATGTTAACAAGATTTTAATAAAGTATTAGTAAATAATGAAATTAACATTGACAAAGATTAACAAATGCTGAAGTATTGTTAGTTAATGTTAACTAGCTAACGGATGACTAACTTACTAACGTATTGTAAAGTGTTACCTCTAATTTTTCTCAGTTATTTTGCTTTATTTTCAGATTTAATCATAGGCTCGTACTTATGTACTAGAGCATGTACGCACATGCGCGCTCTTCGAAAATGGTGCTTTAAATATGAATAAATTTATATACAGTATATGTATATATATATATATATATATATATATATATATATATATATATATACGTATATATATATATATATATATATACAAAGTATATATAAATATTTTTGGTGCAAAATAACTGAACGCCTGTGACAGTGAAATTTGTAGTTGTTTAGAATAGCCACACATGTGTATCAGTAAATTTGAAGTCACAGAGAGAAATATTTTAAATGGGTGATGAACTGAGAAATCAAATTTTCCTTGAGCTTTTGACATCTAAGAGGTCATCATATTAGAAGAATATCCTGTAAGTTTCAGAACTGAAAACGTTCTTGTTAGTCCAATAAAAGCTTTTATTGACACCAGGATCAGCAAACGACTCATTTTTCAAAGTGGGGAACTATGACGTCAAAGAGGATAAAACACCACCCCCGCAGAAGAAGATCAACTACTTCAACACGGCCGTTAGCCCCGCCCACCGATAAACACATAGCTAAATAACATAGATGCCTACCTCGTGATGACAAACTGGATCGAGCTACCGAGCAATACAAAATATTGTGCAGTGCCTTGTTGTGGAAGACAGTCGCTGCATAAGCTTCCTTTGGATTCCAATAGGACTGCATGGATAAACTTTATTTTTAATGACGTTCCAGCTGATGAGGTAAAGCATTGTCCGTCTGTTCGCTTCATTTCACTGAGGATTGTTTTGTAAACAAGACTGGATTTGCAGACCGATTAAGAGTAAAGAACGGTGCTGTGCCGTCTATATTGGATCTGACAGGAATTGTGCAACACACGGACTCTGGGTCGAACATGTATGGGCGAATCATTCCGGTTGCCATTTTACAACATTTTCAACGTTTAACAACGTTTTCAAAACAATTTCACCCAAGTGCATCGACAGGTGAGTTGAAACTCATTATAATATGAAGAGCTCTTTTCCAAAACACGATAAACGCCATTTTTTTAAAAAAACGAGTTTGTCGTGTCATTCTGCTGTGGACAGAACTCTTTCACTGCTCCATCAACGTTTCATGCCAAATCGCTATATTTCCTTGTTTAAAATGTACTGCAAGATACAGTTTCTTTCCAAGCCGCGATAAGCGCCAGCCCTGTTTTTAGCCTAAACACGATAAATCCTCAAATTCAATGAGCGCTCTACACTGTAAAAAGTAATTGCTGATTCTACTTAAGAAAAACTAGTGAATTTAACTTACTTTAGAAACTTAGTTGATTTAACTTGATCACACTGTGTACTATGAACTTTTAGGTGGATGCAATAGTCAAACTAAACAAATCTAGTACATTGTACTTAAGATTGGTAAGTGTATTGTACTAAAAGCATTTTCACACTGTTGCAAATTTCTGGAGCACAGAATTTGGATAGTAATAATAATAATAATAGTGAAATTAACAACATTTTTAGTAAATACCATTCAATTAGTTTGAAAATAGCTAAATATAGTTAATAGGTTAATATATAGTTAACAGGTTCTGAATCTTTTTTTCCTGCACGCTTAAAAATAACTGGGAAGATAAAAAGCAAGCCCATCGGCTGCTACTTCACAGTCCTTTATATTTTTAATAACAAAGCTTTATATATTTACTTTGGTTATTAAGTTTCAGCATGAGACGAAACAACTCGGGTTTTTTTTTTCATCTCGCGCATGCGCATTTGCGCAATTGGACGGTTGAACTTGAGGAGGAAGACGAGACGACATCGACGAGGGACTTCAGCTCGTGTTCGGGAATGGATGCGGCAGCAAAACTAGGTATGGTAGCCTCTTGAACAACTATTTATCAACTTTAATGTGATTGTATAGCTTAAAAACAGAATTTATTTTGCTCATTGTGCAGTAAGAGGAAAATACACACTGAAGTAACGTTAGTTATATGTCGAATGAGACCAGTTGAGACAAGCGGCATAACATAAGTTACTAGATTAAAAAACGATTTTTACTGAACACGTGTTTTATATTAGTTACAGTTTGTATGCTGTGTTAATCGTTTATAAGTTTGGGATTTATCTAATAATATGTAAAAACCCTGGCTGTGCGGCCTAGATAGCAGCTAACGTAACTTCTTTCTAGAAAGTTCAATGCTCACGTGTCGTTCACATGAAAATTAATAACACGATGCATTAAGAAGTGTAACTAACAAGCAGTTATTACCTTATTTTGTCTTTATTTTGTGACAGATTCACTCAACGTTTCATCAATAAATTAAAGGCTAAATCTGGAGACATTGGCTCCAAACTTAAGATTCTGCAGCAGATTCAAAATGACGTAAGCTCATCGACATATCACAATTATGTCTCGATTGCAAAACATATGTTGCTTTTGCTGTTTTTTGCTCTGACGTTTTGCTAGTATCGAGTGCTAATTCAATATACATTTTCATAACTTTGCAGAAATCCAATATCAATGCGGAACGAACAGCGTTCTTCATCATGGCCTAGTTCTCGGAGAGGACCACAATGATTTTTACAAGACATCTTTTGTAAGTATTTTCATCTCTGATGTGATTCTTGTTTAACAGTCTAACTGTTCTTCAAACAGTTGATATCTGGCAAGAAGAGTTATAAAGGCATGAAAAACAGTCAGGACAGTGAAACAAAGTAAGGGTTGGAGAAAAGAAAGTGAAAGATAAATTAGAGTTTAGAAGAAAAAAGACAGTTATAAGATACATTTTATATTAGTTTTAATTTATATAACCGGCCATCAGTTTTATTTGTCTTTTCATGCAGTGGTTTGATGAATGTTTTCCCCCCTGGATTCACTGCTGTGTCCTCTTTGAAAAGGCCTTTACATTTAGACACAAAGGGTTATTAATTTAGTTTCATATTTTAATGACTATGTGCTCTTAAAGGGATAGATCACCCAAAATGAAATGATGTTGTTATTTACTCACCCTTAAGTTATTCCAAACCTGTTTGAGTTTCTTTCTTATATTGAACACAAAATAATATATTTTGAATAAGTTCGGTAATCAAACAGTTGAGATTATCCATTGACTTCCATAGTTTTTTATCCCACTATGGAAGTCAATGGCTACTCTCAACAGTCTGGTTACCAACATTCATCAAAATATCTTCTTTCAGTTCAGCAGATGAAAAAAAACTCATACAGGTTTATAACAACTTGAGGGTGAGTAAATTATGACAAGATTTTAATTTTTGAGTGAACTATCCCTTTAAAGTAACACTCCACCATTTTGTTCCATATTAAACTATGTTATTCCCTTAACAAAGACGAGTTGATGAATACCTCTCTCGTCTCAGTGCCTGCACTCAATCGCTCTGGTGCATGGAGACACATTGTTAGCACTTAGCTTAGCCCAGTTCATTCATTAGGATGCAAATTGAGATGAAGTTAGAAGTGACCAAACACCGCCATATTTTATTTTGTGTCACCATACTTGGCCGTGTAACCGCATTTGAATAGAGAAAATGTGGAGATGTTTGGTCGCTTCTCTGTTTGGATCCTAATTAATAAACTGGGCTAAGCTAAGTGTTAAAGTGTCTCCGCACGCCAGAGCCATTGACGACAGAGGTATGTATCAACTCGTCTTAGTAAAGAGAGTAACATAGTTTAATATGAAAAAATAGTGGAGTGTTCCGTTAAAATATGTCTTGTTCTATTACCTAATTTTTGTTATATGCTATTCCCATTTTTAGGACTGTGATGACAATGAAGATATGTCCAACATTGAAATGTGTTCTGACAGTGATTCCCGAGTCGTCTGCAACCGCTGCCATACCCTACTCCCTGCATCTTGATGCCACAACAACGGCAATGATTCTGGAAGGTACAGTGGTTGTGGATGATCTTGAAAATCTTCCACAAGCAATGAGCTGTCTTTAAAGGAACACTCCACCATTTTGTTTTTATATTAAACTATGTTATTCCCTTAACTAAGACAAGTTGATACATACCTCTCTCGTTTCAGTGCGCCATTCATTAGGATCCAAGCAGAGAAGCAACCAAACACCTCCACATTTTCCCTATTTAAATACAGCTACACAAGAAGTTACACGACCAAGTATGGTGACAAAATAAAACGTGCCGCTTTTCTAAGCGTGTAAAGTGGAGAACTACAATGTATGGCGGAATAGCACTTGAGAGCGCTTTGACTTGGCACAGTAATATCATCACTACTGATGATGAGAGGATTTTTTAGAAGTGACTATATTACTGTGCCAAGTCGAAGTGCTCTCAAGTGCTATTCCGCCATACATTATAGTTATCCATTTTACACTGGTGTAATCATACACCATTCTCGGTCATGTAACTACTTACCAACGTGTAACTGTATTTAAATAGGGAAAACGTGGAGGTGTTTGGTCGCTTCTAACTTCATCTCTTTTTGGATCCTAATGAATAAACTGTGCTAAGCTAAGTGCTATCAATGTGTCGCGTCACGCCAGAGCGATTGAGTGCACGCACTGAGACGCGAGAGGTATGTATCAACTCGTCTTTGTTAAGGAAATAACATAGTTTAAAGGATAGTTCACTTTGAAATTAATTTTTTTGGTTACACTTTATTTTGATAGTCACTTTAGACGTTCTACTAATTATAAGTAACTTTTCAACTACACGTCAACTAACTCTCATTAGAGTAGTAGTATATTATAGTAGACTGTTAGTAGACTGTTAGGTTATGGTTAGGTGTTAGGGTTCGGGTTAGGAGAATACTGTAAGTTTACTTGTAGTCGCCAAGTTACTTATAGTCAGTTGAATGTCTGTTGGGGGACCAACAAAATAAAGTGTTAGCAGATATTAAGCTGACAATCTACTAATCCTCTAATGACAGTTAGTTGACATGTAGTTGAAAAGTTACTTATAGTTAGTAAAATGTCTACAGTGGACTATCGAAATAAAGTGTTACCATTTTTTTTATATGTTTTAGCTTACCTCAAGGGCCTCCAAGATGTAGGTGTCTTTGTTTCCACAGTATTTTCAATTTTTACATTTTTCGGTCAAACCGTTCTTGTCTGTCAGTCATACAATGGAGGTTTAGGGGGTCCACGTCAAAAAGCATGCACAGAGGAGTCCAAATTAAACATGATTTAATGACTCGTAAATGTAAGTACACATTGATGGCCTAAGACACGAAACGAGCGGTTTGTGAGAAAACGAACAGTATTTATATCGTTTATACCTCTTGTTAACAGCCATGTTCAACTGATCTGGATCAGATGTCCAACTGAACCGAACTGAACCATGTCCAACGTTCCGCTGGAAGTGATCTTGCGCGCGTCTACGTCACGCATTGTTTACACAGAGATTTCTGAAGTTTTACCTTTCACTGTGAAGATCTAAACATATTTAGATATACGGGAAATCGCAATAGAAAATGATTTCAATATATCTAAATATGTTTAGTGAAAGGTAAAACTTCCGAAATCTCTGTGTAAACAATGAGTGACATAGACGCGCGCGAGATCACTACTTGCAGAACGTTGGACATGGTTCAGTACGGTTCAGTTGGACATCTGATCCAGATCAGCTGGACATGGCTGTTAACAAGAGGTAAAAACGATATAAATACTGTTCGTTTTTTCACACAAACTGCTTGTTTCGTGTCTTAGGCCATCAATGTGTACTTACATTTACGAGTCATTAAATCATGTTTAATTTGGACTTCTCTGTGTGGTGGTGACCATAGACCTGCATTATATGACTGACAGACAAGAATGCTTTGACCTAAAAATATCAAAATTGAAAATACTGCGGAAACAAAGACACCTACATCTTGGATGCCCTTGAGGTAAGCTAAAACATATCGAAAATTAATTTCAAAGTGAACTATCCCTTTAATATGAAATAAAACGGTGGAGTGTTCATTTAAGAGATCTCTAAAGAAAATTGTTCAGTACTGTTTTATAGATACTTCACTGTTTTTCAATTGTTGAAAAGAAAAAAGGGAAAAAATATCCTTATTTAACAGGATGTTACTTGTTTGGTTTTGGAATAGTTTTATAAGAAGAGAATTTTAAAGAGAACTGTAGTAGGTAGGAAAGGAATTCTGTACCAGACTATGTGACTTGCATGCTCTGCTTTCAACCACTTTGTAAAGATGTTAAAACAAAAACATTGTTTTTATTGTCTTTAGTACTTTGTTTTTTTTCTTGAGTGCATTATGTGCTTTATTTCTAAAATGTTGTTGGCGGGCCAGTAATGTTTTAACATTATTGTTGTTGAACAAATAAACATTCTAGTGGTTTGCCAAATGTGTTGTCTTTCTTTGTATTCTCAACTCAGAATTTTGAGTACAATTTGCTTGAGAAATTTAAGGCAATCAGTTTCCACACATTCCTCTAGTAAATAGAACAAGCAGACATGTTAAATTAACTGTTTTGTGTAAGTTCTGCTTACAAATCTCTGTAAGTTGCCTTAACTTGAGATTATTAAGTTACCTGTACTCAAGTTTTATGGTAACCTCTACAAATACACAAGTTAACTCTACAAAGAAGTAGAGAGTAGTATCAAGTCAAAAATGATGACCTAATTTGCTTGAAAATTTTGAGGCAATCAGTTTCCACAGCTTTTCCTAGTAAAGTCAACTTATTACTTTTTACAGTGTACACAATCCAGCACGGCGGCACTCTGAACAGAGGTTTATTATGTTCATTCATTCCTCAAAATGAGTCCTAGTTTTCTAGTCGACTAGATCATTTAAGCCATTTGTATTATCAGTAATCACATATATTGATTTAATTAAATGGGAGAGAAAACCATATGAGCGTTTTTAATTGCCTATTCCGCATTTCAACGTATGCATAAAGCTTGCCACAAAGAACCGCCAAAAGTAATGATTATGAAACATTTGAATTGTTTATTAATAAACTAGTGTTTTCTATCAGTGTCAGCAACAAAGATAAAGTTGATGATGCTTACTCGCCATCTTCGCAGTGAACGCGCATAGGCCTATAGAAACGCATACTTCGAATTAGCCTACATACGCAGAGAGTTGCCAATTTATTTTAGTTTTTAATTGTTTTGTTTAAAAGTAGATATTTAAAGCTTTCTGTAGCTTAGTTCTCAGGCCTGTGTGAGGCAAGCATCGCGGTGTTTCGGTTCATATTATGAGACGCGCTCCGGTTCACCTGCGCGCCTCTGTGTCCTGATTATATTGTCTGATATTTACTTCTAATGTATTAATCCAGTCAATTTGTCGATTTAACATTTATTAAAATGAAGATACAATTTATATGAAACGAAATTTACAAGCTTTCTACAAAACAAAACTTAATAAGTGGTCAAAATCATGTCTGACGCACTCCAAATATTTTCCGATATTGGGCAGCTTTTGAATTTTGATCCTATCTTACTCATCTCATGCGGTTCCCTTTTCATAGCCTACTCAACATAGATGAAATAATAAAAATAAGTAATGTAATATTATTAAAAACAAATGTGAAACGTATATTTTATGTTTATTTATTTATTTATTTTGTTTAACTTATATTTAAGCGTCATGCTGCTCCGCTTTGCTCACATGTTAAAATTAACTTTTAAATTATCATTAACAATATTGTTGTTTGATTTAATAATTATTGTTCAAAATGTTCAGACTGAACCAATAAAACATTTAAACAGGATAATTTGAATATTCACAAAATGTGTTGGTCTAAGTAAAAAAATTTAGTTTTCCTGAAAACTATTGAAATGGATTTATAGCGTTTTGGAAAAGAGCTCTTCATATGCAAAACTGTTGTCCACTCACAGCAGTGGGCATTTACTTCCAAGTCATCAGTGCGAGACGCCCATAAAAACCGAGCGTTTTTAAAGGATAATTCCGGTATTTAACACCTTGAGTCTATTAGAAATTTTGACAATGGGTCCTGTCTCGCCTTTTTGACTTTTTTAGAATCGCCTGTGACAGCTTTAGACTGGCTGTCTATGGGCATGCACAAACATGTCCAATATAATACAATTTAAACAATGTAATATAATTTAAAAAGCCAGTTCATGACCCCTTTAAGAGTTGAAAACTTGTAGACTTTTTTATCTTCCACAAAAACAACACAACAGTTACACTTTCTCAAATTCTTCATTGCAGGTGCACAAATCCTATTCTACAAATCATAAATTAACTCGTACGCTCATATTTTCTGCTAAAGTTGCTGCAGTGGATAAGGGGCAAAACTCATTTACACACCTGCATCAAAAAATGTGAAGTCACAGAGAATTTTTGCCCATCCGCAAATCAGTATGTGAATTCATCCAATGGGAGTTGCACACTTGTAGAATATTTTCTCAAAAACGTCTTGTATATTTTTCTAGCACCAACACAAGTACTTAACTACAGCTGCTTGAATCTGCTGCGACAAATCTCAAGCTGTTTTTCGCTTTCAAATGACAAGTTTCGCGCGCTCTCCCTTTTGCACCAAGTGCACCGTGAAATGTGGTCCAAAAGTGAGTTGTGCATCTGTAAAGTAAGTGGGCGGAGCTTACATTAATATTCATGAGTTTCCCAGGCATGTACTGGAACTGCTTCTAGTTCACGCTCATCGTTTCTCAGCAGGTTATATGGATTATTTCAAAAAAGGTAAATATAGTTTCAGCGCAAACTTAAACTACAGTTGTGTATCATTTCGTTAAGTTCAAAATGTTTTTTTTTATTCGTCACTGACTGATATATTATATAATATCCTTTGAAGAGGTGTAACTGGTTGTGTTGTGTTTGTGGAAGATAAAAAAGTTTGTAACTCTTAAAACATGTCAGAGGCGTTCAGTTGTTTTGCACCAAAAATACCTTCATATTTAAATCTCTATAACGAAATAAATGACGACCAAATGACACATGCATTTATTCGAAATTGAAATGAAATGTATGAATGCCAGCTTACTAATTTTGCTCAAGGTAATGTTTTATTAAGTCCACGTCATGCAAACAAAAAACTATGCTTAAC